TATTAAAATCATTTTAATCTTAAAATATCATAATGATTTTGGTTGTGGTAGTTTCTTTAATTTAATTACAATAAATTAGAGATAGATAATTTTGAAAAAAAATAATAAGTATTCCTTTTAAATAATATTATTTCATCCAAAAAGAAATAAAAACCGGTTTTAATATATATTTTAAATGAAGTCAAATTGCTTTAAAAAAATACTTTAATGAACTACTTTTCCCTCAGCTTTATTGCAGTTAAAACAATTTATTTTAAACATACTTTTGGGGATAACATTTAAAGCTAACTGCTAGTGGGGCACTCTTACCCTATATGCATTCACTAATGGATATAACCACTTCTCTTTGCCTCTCAACGATTTCACAGAATTCATGCAACCGCAGCATATATGGCCTTATCTACAACAAAACTTCATGCAGCAGCACACACATCAGTATCACCAACACCATCAGCAGCATCCACAGCATCCACACCAGCAGCAGCACCAACAGTTGCCAGTGCCAGGACATCCAGGACATCCAGGGCATCCGCATCACCATCATCACCAGCATCACCATCACCATCCGGGGGCGGGGCATGCCCACTTTCCGCATCCCGCATTTCTAACGCATCAACTGCCGCCGCATCAGCAGCAACAACAACAACAACAACAGCAGCAGCAGCAACAACATCCCGGCAATAGTTGTCAGCCGCAAACCGCATCCTCGTCGTCGTCACCTGGCAGCACAATTAGTGATAGCGACAACAATCACGGCGGCCCCAATCCCACTGCCAACTCTGGCCAGGATGGGCGACCGCACGAAATGGGAGCTGCGGACGAGGACAATGCCAATCGAAGATTAACGCAAGACAAGCAGCAGCAGCAGCAGCACCAGATGCTGGGATCAGCCGGAGGAGGAGGAGGTGGTAGTGGCCATCCTACGCCGCCACCACCGCCTCCTCCGCCGGTGATTGCCAAGCCCATGCCCAGCAGACCCACACCCTTCCTGCCACACACCCTTAACCATCCGCACCTCCACTCGCTGCTGGCGCACTGCCGGAATCCCTACATGAGTGGTAAGAGGAGTTTCCTATAAGCTGGTGTTGGGGATGTGACGTTTTGATACTTGAAATAATATTTATTTAAATTACAAAGCAAAGTTGGGAAAATAATATTTTAATTTGAAATTATTCTTAAAATATCCCCGTAATGAGACAAATCTTCTGAAAGTTTCCACTTTATTTTAATGTCATAAAAGCCTATAGGGACTTCATAACTCTGCCAAGCTTGGCTTTTATTTCCAAGTGTACTGCTCCCTAATTGCTGTCCGAATGTGATGACGACACATCCCCAACTTCCGACTAGATCGCCCGCCCGCTGTGCCCATTAACAAGTGTTTTGGTCTAATGCATTTCCTCTCACTCTTCCTGGACTCAACCCACTCACCATTTTCCCAATTGCAGTTGGCGCTCAAGTGTTTCCCCTGCCTCCGGGCCAGGGTTTTCCCTGGGCGCATTCGACACGTGGCAAGCCTCGCCGTGGAATGATGCGACGTGCCGTCTTCTCAGGTGCGTAGAATGGGGAGTTTGCCACATGGAGAGGGTAAACTTATTAAGAGGTTACTCTGGCTACTTGCAGATTCGCAGAGGAAGGGTCTGGAGAAGCGGTTCCAGCAGCAGAAGTACATCAGCAAGCCGGATCGCAAGAAGCTGGCCGAGCGACTGGGTCTCAAAGACTCTCAGGTTAGTTTCTTTATCTCTTAGAAAATAATACGTTATATGGAACGTACCTATAGCTGCCTTTGTTGGCTTTCGATTCTTTTGATCCATGCGTGAGTCATACTTTTTGCGAAATTCAATTAGCAATGTTTTATATACGAGCAGGTGCTGGTAAATATTCCAACTGGGGGCATAGCTCAGGGGTAGAGCGTTCGACTGCAGATCGACAGGTCCCTGGTTCAAATCCGGGTGCCCCCTTTATTTTTGTAAAATATATGCTTTCTTATATACATTTCTATATATGTATATACTTTTTATATTTATGAGACACATATCTTCGTTTTAAGTAGCAATTCACTTAATATTTTGAAAGACAACGATTTCGCAACTAGTTTAAATGTTGCATCATCTTGTATTCTTAACACACGTCTCTTTGGGTTACAATAAAATAAATTAATTAAATAATAATTTAGAAGGGAAGTCTCCCAGGATTACCTTGAGCTGTATAAAATATTTTCATATATTTTTTTCAATTTTATAATATATTCATTTTCGATTAAAAACCTATATTATAGCTTTTAAAAAGAAAAACCCTATTACTCCTAAAAACCTCTTCCATTTAATCCTTATAAAACCCGGATATTTACACACAACTTTCCCCTAAAAAAAACACACAATTAGCATTCCTAAACGCATTTCACAAAGCAACAAACTTTACCCAGCAAACTCTCTAAATTTTGGTGTAAGCAATCCATAAACAATCTGCTCTCGAGACAAACAAAATAAAATCAATAAGCATAATAAGCACGAAATGAAGCCATTATAAAATTATATATATATAAACCGCTTATAAAAATTCAGTTTGGCGAACTTTTCGCATCAGCTTTAATAAGTAAGCAGACAACAAAAGGGACGACAATGTCGACGGTGGAAAAGGAAAGCCCGAAACAAAAAGCGGACAAAACTCCGCCCAGGAAAGCTCTCTGGCAATGGCTGCGCACGGGAAAATGGCAGAAAAGCCAGAAAAAAGGGGAGGGCGGTCTCTCCTTGAAATGCGCAGTCGCTTTCTTATACATATATCCCCCAGATATATATGGGGATATATGTACAGGCCCCGAGGTCGAGGTATAATGAAATTATAACGAGCCATAAGAAATTCATGTCGCCTGAGACGCAGACAGTTTTCATTGATTGCGTAGCCACCGGCATCGACCGACCAGGTCCCTTTCGAGTCATGCAATAATTAAATTAATTTTTGTAAAACTCAGACAATACTTACACATAACAAAAAAATACGGAAAAAAGAGAGCTGGGGCAGAGGGAAATACCTTTTTTTTGTGCAGACAACAGCGGCATTTTCACATGGCTGCGAATATTTGCGTGGCCAATTTGGTCTTGTCAAAATGTAATCGATCACAACTCAATCAGGCCCCGGCAGTTGTCACCACCAACCAAAGTCATCCCTTGAATGGGTCCCGGTATATAGTCCCGAATCCCTATGATGATGCTGATGACTGACAATGTCATGCCAAATTAGTGCAGCTCCTTTTTTGTTCTAGCATATGATTCATAAGAATTTCATAATTGCACAGTATAAGCGTGTCCAGTTTGCATTCGAAACATGAATTCATCAACTCATTGCATAAGTCACGCCCCTTTTTTTGAACCCATTTGGAACGATCGATCATTTACAGCCTAATGATCTTATAATTTCACGTCTACGTATAATGCCAGCGACAGTATTTCAAACGTAAAATCGTAACAGACGTCTAGAGTTTAAAATTGTGTAAGATCTGTTGAGCTACATTTACTGGGAACCTTTTTTTTTATTATAAATAGTAAATTATTTGCACCGTGACTAGGGGCTTAGTTAAGCGCTGTAACAGCCTAAGATTTATGGAGTTTAGTTAAGTCACAATAAATCAGAGTTGAAGATTATAGTCAGTGTCACAAAAAAAGAGGAGCAATGTCTAGTTTTGAAGAATGTGTATTGTTGAACTAAAATGAAAAATAAATACTTAATTTTGGGCAAATTAAATTTAAATCTTCCTTTTATTTTAACAATTCTCTCTAAAACTTAAAGCAAGCTTGCTTAAAATTAGCAACTCCCATTCAAGTTCATTCAAAAACCATTCAAAACCCATTCAAAGTTATATCCTCTTGCAACTTCAACTATTATTTTATGATTATTGCCCTCAGCTTGGCTATAAATCCTGAGATATAGAGGGAAAACTTCTAAAGCATTCATCAAATGCAGTTTGTCAAAGTGTGAAAATGGAAAATGTCGAAGGCGCCTTTAAAAACAAAAGACCGTGAGGGAAACCCAGGAGAAAAAAGAAGCTAAAAGAAAAGCTCGTTTGGTGACCATGGCAAAAAATGTGCAAAAATGTCAGAAAAATTCGCAATCAAATCGCAGCGGGTGTCCAGCTTGCGGTGGCTCTGGACCCTGTAAGCTCCTGAACAGAGGATATGGGTAGAGGCAAAGGACAAAGGACAAGGGACACGGACAGGGACACATACACCCAAAGTGTTGGGCAGCCGGCGGCGATGGGAGCTCCATTAACGACCGACACATATATAGAGAGTGTGGGTTGTGTAGGACTGAGGTCCTTTGCTACGTAGTTTGGGTGATGAACGAGTGCGGATATTCACACTCGAGTGTCACAGGTTGAGTGGGTGTGAGTGTGTGTGTGTGTGAGAGAAAGAGTGAATCTGAGTGTGGCTTGCATTGCGCCTAGCTGTATGCAACATGATTTAAGAGCCTGCCTGCCTGCCACCTCCTTCGTTTTGCTGCACTTTTTGCAGCTCGCTTGTTGTTCACTTTGCTGCACAGTACGCGTCATAAATATAGCCGCACACTGCACTGGCCGCCTGCAATTCGAGTATCGAGAGCAGGGGGCCTTTTTGGCCATTGTCCATACACAGAAAAAATTATCGTGGGTAAATCTAACCATTTCGTGGGTTAAAAGGTAACAACCAAAATCTTGGGTTCCATGAACTGTACGCTGCAGTATAACGACGTAACGCGTTACGTAACATGTACTGCTCTACAGTAAATGGAACCACGATTTTGCGGTTAAAAAGCGCCAAACCACGAAAATTGTGAAATACACTATTTTACTATTTTACTGTAGACTACCCCCGACTACAGTAATTGCAGTTCATATTACCACCAAAATAAAACCAAAAATTATTTTAAAATTTTAATAGTATTTTTTTAATTACTTATTCTTTAAAAATATTTACAGAGGGTCTTAATTAATAATATTTTTTTAATTACTTATTCTTTAAAAATATTTACAGAGGGTCTTAATTAATAATATTATGGACTTATATATATATATTTCCTATATGATGAATAAATAAATTAAATATTAAAATTGTAAATTTATTAATAAATAAATATTAAGTCAAACGATGATTATCAATACTCACAAATATATATTAGTCCATATTTCACATCCGAACTGGTACTTTTGTCTCGACTATAGCTTTTCTGAAATAAAAATTGATTTAAGTAAATTTGTTTATTAAAATTAATAGAAAACGGCCAAATATTTTACTTACATTTTGTTGATTCCATTTACATAGTTATGTTTTATAGTTACATGTGTATACTTTCACCTGAAAACAAAATAGAAAAGTATAAAAGATTTAATTATATATGTATATCATAATAAGATATAAAACAAACGGTTTTTGGATGTCAGTGCCAGCTATCTTGCTCGCACTCGCCTGAGATGGTTGCCATCGCAAGTCAACAAGAAGCCAAAAAATACATTTGCATGCATGTACATGTCCGCTGATCGCTATTTAAATTGTAAAATAAAGAGAGGCAATCAAAGATCAGTGCCAAATATAAGATTTTACATATATGCATATATGTACATATGTATATATTTTAATCTGTACACTAACTTTACTTTTAAAAGCGTTACTTCTTGCGATCAGCGGCGTACGTGTACTTGCATATGTACATACATACATATATGTATATGTATGCATAAATACATAAACATACATATGTACATTCGCCAATTGCGGATCTTTAAATGATTGTTTGGGAACTTACCGAGAAATGTGGGCAATAAGTCTCTGAAATCCCACTCCTCCAGAAAAAGGAAGGTCAATATCACTCATAACTTTTACTTTTAACTTTTTCACTTCACTTTTCGCTGCACAACTTCTCGAAACCGACGCCGCTTTTTAAGTGTGCCCGAAATCGTTTTTTCAAGAAACGTTTGCAATATACTAGAAGTTTAGAAATATATACCAGAATTATACCAGAAAGTATTTTAGTGGGCAGAAAAAGTTATGGATTTTCATAAAATATTTAATAAACTTATAAAATGTTAATGTTACTTACCTTGGGAATGCAAAAATACATACACGATACCAAAGAAGATAAAGAAACACATAAAACTTTTTACGTAAAACCTACAGTATTTTGACTGCAGCTGACAGTCACGACAGTTCGCAAAGCCAACAACAAAAAACACACAGAATCTCGTACGTAAGGGTGACTGTAATTGACTGTCATATAAACTGTCGTGCAGTCACCAAATCCAACAACAAAATACATTGACAGTAGCTTCACTGTTATTCAACCAAAAGAAATTGTTCATTTAACCCACCAGAATTTTTTCTGTGTAGAGCTTGGGTCGCGTGCCTTGCGGTCGACAAACGTTGCATTGATGATGGCCAGCTCTCAGTTGGCCAGTTGACCAGTTGGCCAGGTGATTCATCATTTCGAGTGTTGTTCATTGCAACGTTTATTGCGATTTTTACAAACGCACTCGAAAAATTGCTGCCAACCGATTTATGGGCGCGGTTTCTGTGCATTTTTTAACCCCAAAATTGAGGATGCAAGTCACGTTCAAGGGATTATTAACTAAGGGTTTTTGGTGTTTGGGATTAAGTGGAGTATATTTTGATAATTAACTTCTTAAATGAACTCTAGGTCTATTTAAATATACAACAAAGTAGGTATAAGAATTATGTTTAACCTTTGAGAACCATTTAGCTTTTTTTAGTACTTGAAATATATATTTTTGAATACCCAAAATCAACTCATATAAGACCCCGCTGGAATATTCATTGCTGTAACAAAATCCCATTTGAATAAATTAATGCAAAAGGGCAAATATCCCTAAATCTAAGCCTTATTTTTCGATAATGCCCAATAAATAAAAACCAGAGATGAGCTTTACGCAACCCAACTTCCCAGTAGAAGACCAGCACACTCCTGCCATCAGTCACGCCCTCTTCAAAGGGCACTGCAACTGACAGTTACCAGCCTCATAATCCGCTGGCTATAAATTTAATTGCCATTAATGACACTCCATGAGCGGGTAAGCTGGAAAGTGGAAATTCCGGGAAAAGAAAGAGCTTGCTCTGCCCGCAGGCGGCTGCCAAAATCATGCGGCGGAAATGAAAACATCTTGAGGCGAAAATGTGATTTGCATTTTTAAATCAATACACAAAGGAATCGCGGTATAAATATATATACATATATAGGACTAGGATTGGAGAACAGGATAATAGCAGTAGCTGAAGCTAAAGCCACCCCCGCTGCACACACGTGTCTGGCTTTGGTTGTCGCTCTCGCCCGGCAACTTTTTAAGTGTCATGTCCAAAACAAATTCGTCTGTTTTTGATTTGTCGAAAAATCGAGGGGAGAAAAAATCGGGCAGCCCTCGTCGCCTTGTCGAATAAAGGAAATTCCCGCCAACGCTTTCGCAATCAATTGTGGAATTTTCACCCATTTCCCACTCTCTCTCACTCTCTTTCTGTTTACTGTCTCTCTCTCTCTCTCTGGCACTTTTGGCATTTTCACGTTATAAATATTTTTATTTTCCATTTCGTCTGCCTTGTCTTTTGTCTGTTTTCCACACAGCAGCAGACGCTGCTGCATCGTTTTGTTTTTTATTTGGTTTTCGATTTCCCGATTTCGTTTTCTTTGACAGAAGCTGCTGGCCGTTGGCTTTAAATCAAGCTGCACAATAAATAATAATCCCTGAATGGGGGAAATCCATGGAGAGTATTTAACACTCGATCTCTGGGTTGGTCTTTTGCATTGTTTGCTTTGGTTTTTATGAGTCTTGTTAGCCCCTTAATGGTCGTCTAGGGGTTTTGGTTAGAGAAAAGCTGTGAAAGTGATTTAAGATTTGGAAATTGAGGATTAAGTGAGTTTAACTAGGACTTAAATACATAAAAATATTACATTTACGGGAGAAATCAATTTATTAGAACCATGGATAGTTGTATCCATGTTCCATGTTAGAAAGAAAAATGGTATTTGCTTTTATGTTCAAAATTTTAAATGCGTTTGACTTTTATTTTTTAAAAATATATATGTAAATACTCCCCAACTACTTGTATCCTTCCATTACTTAAAGATTTTATACATAACTTTTTTATAAATCCATCGTATTCAACTTTTACAACGCCACAAATCAAAGAACACTTAATGTTCCGAACTCAAATTTCATTTCAATTTGCCAATTTGCAACCCTCCCCTTGCAAAAACCAATTGGGAAACATTAAAACCCATCATTTGCAGCTTTGGTTACAAAATAAATTTGTTGACAAATTGCTAAATAAATGGTTCGCCCGGCCACAAGCCAAAGAAAATTTTGCAAACACTCTAGAGAGATTCCCCCTAAAACAATAACCACAAAAGCGGGGCAGGGGGCAGGAGCAGGAGCAGACCAGATTGGAGGCAGTACAATCCAAATGGACCATGGCCAGTAACCCAAAACGCACTGCCAACTGCTGTTGGAATGACTTTGGCAAATAGTAGCAGACTATTTAATACGCTATTACGCAGCATATCGAATGACATGCCGGGGCCCCGAAAATGGGTTGACAGGAAGGAAGGAACGAACTCGAACTCCCCCTTGAAGCCAGCCTCATTAGTTAACATATGTTGCCCTCGGACGAGATTGGCAAAAGTCGGGAAATAGCAGGACGGGACGAGACTCTATCCTCCCCCACAAACAACAGCTTGTGCTCATTGCCCAAAGTCAATTTTCGGAAGAAAAAAAAATGTATATATAGCAGAAGGGAGGACGAGGACTGCCGCCCATTATATCCCAACTCTACTGGGTTGCTTTATAAAAACTTCAAACAAATTCTATGCGCGTTATGCTGGCAGCGTGTCAGAAAAATATGTTACTTATCGTTTTGGCTTACTGTCAATGGAATGGGCTCTACGGCGAGTGGTACTGCTTTTGGGGGAGTATATATTCCCTGGAATGGTGATGGTTTGGGGTCTTTAACAAAGTGGCAAAACGTTTAGCCGGAATTTGAGATAGCATCCGAGCTTGAGAACTTCATTTCAGCAGAGATGTGATTACATGAGGGCTGTTGGTCAGGGTTAATGTGAAGTAACTAAATTACTAAAGGAGTTAGAGGGGTCTAACATATAATGTAATGGGATAAATCAATGGTAAGATATTTAGTCATATTTTTAGCTAGTAACATTTTTTTGATTTATTCTAAAATGTTTAGAATTATGATGTATTCCAGTCTCCAGATTACTTCCACTATTTTAAGTACCCTAAATTTCATTATTTCATTTTTGTTGTAATGCCAACAGTCTAAACTAATTATCAAAATCCTTGATTATCCTTGATTATTCCACAACAATTTAATACTTCATTAACCCCAAAACTCCCCGCTAATTACAATACACAACAATTGAGTTTTAGTTTTTGTGTCGCCAAGCACAAATATTTGCATAATTTTAATTATATGATAACGAATATTTGATGTGTTAGACAATAATTATACGTTTACGCTGTGATTTTATGGGAGGTAGGGAGAGAACACTCATTACATGGCCAATATTTGTTAACAAGCCGGACTAAACGTGACTCTCAATGGCAGTTTATAATTTCCCCCAAACGAGGCATTTCCTGGTTTATTTGTTAGTAATTATAAAACCGATTGGGTTAACTAGAACAGGTTCTATATAATTTTTAGGAAGGCGGAGAGAGCAGTTCTACTTGCCGTAGGCAATCATCACAGTTTCGAGCTCATTAAACAAGCCAACGGAAATGTCCAGACGATGGGCCGCGCTCCTTGGCATACTAAATTGCACGCTTTATAATTAATTTCCATCAGAAACAGACGATGACTATGACGACGGTGGCTGGGTCCAAGATCCCATTCCGCTTTGGGCCTTCTGGACCCATAATCATTAATCTTATCGCCGCCTGAGCTTATTATTTCAATTGCCGAATGGTGGGTGGGCGGCTTTTCCGAGGGACAGACGCTGAAAAAACTCAATGACCGGAAGTAAGCGAAACAGCAAACCAAAAGCCGAAAGCCGCAAACATGTTCGGGGGCCACGTGCCACCAGGGTTGGAAGGGCAGCTTCCCAAGGATACTCGGCCAAGAAATCTCTGCGGTTAATCGCTTGTTTAACATGTCAGCAGCTTTTTGTTGCCGTTGTTTACTTATTTATTTATAAATAATCTAATCACCAGGAGAGTGGGTGGTGGCGGCTTTGCTCCCTCTCCAATTTCACGCATCAATTTGCTTTAAATTTCACATCAAGTCACAATCTAATTGCGAGCAGGGTGTGGGTGGGGAGAGCCCACACATAAATTGTTGCAAATTGTTTTGGCTTGCAACAAAGTGCGAGTGTCCTGCTGTGTCATAGGCACGCAGGAACGACGAGCTCCAGGATGAGCGAATAGAACACAACCCCCGGCACAATAACTCAAACACAGCTTTCAGCGGTGAGGAATGGAAGGGCCAAGGATGCGGTCCGACGAGTCCTGCAATCCACTTCAAGTGTCTCTCGCCCTGCTCTCTCGCCTGTCAAATGCAATGGGTCGCCGCCGCCGCCGCCTTTGGATGAGATCAGGTCGTCCGGGAAAGGGGCTTTGGCTCTAGGATGTGAGAAACAAGACTTGCAGAATTTTTGCTGGACCAACTTGGCCAGGCACTATGTAAAGAAAATAAACAAAAATACTGGGAATATATTTTGAAAAAAAAGATTTATATAAGATGTTTGGAAAATTAAGAAAATTATTTCCATTTCTAATGAAAGCGATTTTAGTTTATATTTATATTTTTGGGGAGAAAATGGCAATATAAGACTGGTTTTTGTAATTTAAATATCAAAATCATGTCTTAAAATATCAAAATTTTGAAGATCTTAGTTTGAAAGTTAATTTATTTATTTAAAAAGATTTTTTGTTTTCAGCAATTTAATGTTTTTGTCCCACTGTACGGCCTCTAATCAATTTGTAGCCGCTTTTGGGGAAAATGTCTCTAATTTGCATTTATTATGGATATGGCCAGCGTCTGGCAATGGCAGTGCAGTTCAAACTTTTGCCCCCCAACCCATGACCACGCCCACACACACGACCCTCGCCTAACAGGGAAGGATGTGGGGTGTGAGTATTTGGATCTGTGTGGGTTTATCCGGAGATTCAATTTGCCACAGAAAAGTTTTTGCCGGATAGATCGGAAAAGTTCAGTTTCCGAAAGCGGACATCGTGGAAGGAATAAAATATACACACTACACACACTCAAATTTATATACGAATGACCATGAAATGTTTAGAAACTATGTAGACTTGGGGAAAAGGGC